AAAATAATGCCAAAAATATATATTGATCAAAATAAATAGTTTTATACTTATAAGAAAAATACATATATATTTTGTTTTTCAAAAATGCCATTTGCGGAAAACGGAGTAAATTGTAGTACTAGAAAAAATAAATAGCAGTAAATAATATTTTAATGGTAGAAAATAACAAAGTATTGGAAAATTGTGCATAATTTTGTGATTTTGTGTGGCCAATTTTCGTATAAAATGAAATTATGTTAGGGGTCTATGTTTGTATGAGTTGGTAGTAAAACTGTCAAACTTTTTGCTGTGCGATCAGGCGTTTTACACACAAAACCTAACCTCCAAAACGCACGAACATCAAATAACAATTTTATCATAAGTGCATCTTTGTGATGTCTCTTTGATAACACATGCGTGAAGTTAGGTTTTATGTGTAAAACGCCTGATCCACCGCAAATACTTTCGTTACTACCAATTCATACGAAGATAGACCCACAATATAACTATTTTATCCGAGAATTGGCCTTTTAATAAATTAACTTTATATTTTGAATTTTATTTCCTGATTGTAACAGTAATTTTTCGATGATAACTTCAAATTGTTCTTTTACGATTTTTTTTCGAATTTGGTAAAAAATTATTTGTTTATCAAAGATAAAGGTAACAAATGATCTCATTTTTTTGTTAAACTATTGCAATTTGTAGGAAGTTTTAGTGCAAGGTAAAAATTTACATATTCATTAAAACTTATATTTTGTATTATTGTGATATTGTATAATTTCTGCTGAAGTTATACCTTTATACAACTAAAATAATTTACATTAAAATTTAGGAATTTTTGGATTCATGAATTTTATCAAATCTACGAGTTTGTGCAAAAAATTGCAAAAAATTAATAGATAAAATTGTTTTGGAAAGAATTTGTCTAAGCTTTTGAGAGTATATTTTTTGTAATTTATATTATAATTTTCTCTAATATTTTAATTTATCTCTTAGGAATGTCCTTATCTAATTTCCACTAAAATGTTCTTATTTTAAATATTTTCTAGTTTTAATGTGATAGAATTTGTGCATGTATGTATGTGGTTGATTAATTTTAAGATTATTGATGAATTTTTGAATGAGTTGTGAACGAAATGTAAATTTGAGATATTGATTTAATAAAATGCTAATATCAATTTACTTGTTTATTTTTTGAATTAACTATTATGATATATATGACTTGAAGTTTTCGAATATTATGGATATACTATAGTATTAATACTATTAATGATAATCATTTTAGATTTTTTTTATTTTTCAGGAACATTACTACAACAGCAACCGTACATAGGTTAATTAAATTTGCTAAATTAATGTTTTTCAAATCGATTCATTTAATTAGTTCTGGGTTATCATTCTATTAAAATGATTGATCAATTTATTTCTATCTACAAGAACTATGTGCAATTTATACTATTTAGTCATGTGTTATTGATATTACGTCATTTACTGCGTTGTACGACAAAATAAACAAAACAGTCATACGAATGATTTGCAAATTACATTTATCAGCATATTAGATCAAATTTAACATCAATAGTTTTATTATTAACATAAAAATAATTTTTTTACAGTTTAAAAGAAAAATCGCTTCTTACAGTTTACTGCTAATATGAACTTAGCATGTTTTTGCCAAATATTTTTAACTTCCCTCTGAGTAAGTTATAGTAATTTCAGAAAAAACAAAAATGATAATTTCAGTATATCTTTACGTTTCAAACTCTTCTGAACATTTTGACATACTTTAGAAAAAATTAATGTATGTATATATGTGTGTGTATATGTTTGTATGTGCGGATACCATTCTTTGTCCACGATTACAAAAGCATAGATTAACCGAATTGAAAAATTCAAAAAACATTCGATTTGTATTGACAGAGAGACTTGTTCGTTAGTGTTTGGCAAAGGCAGGTCCAACCTTTGAGTAGATACGCAGGAAAAAGTGCAAAAATAATAATTTTAGAGAGAACGGAGCATCCGATTAGAATGATTCAAAAAACATATTGCTTGTGTTGACGGTGTTGAGAGTATGAGAATACATTGCAATTTGATGGTCTGATATTTATCTATGTTACGGCAGAATCGGCCCATTTGATCGTGTTGCAAAATTTGCTACAATATTATATATTATTTTATAAATGCTCATGATACTATGCATTATTAAAACTATATTATTTTTAAAAACCGTAAGTCATCCTTACACATAATTTTTCAAATAATGCTTCTCTAAAGTATTAGTGACAACAATATTATAGATTGTCTCTCTCTCTAATACTGATGATGCAACTCATAGACAGGGGGTCAGTGATAATTTTTTTCATATCCAAAACTAATGGAGCTGTCTAAAATATTTGATAAGCGAAAAATCTACTTTCTTTATTATAATATATAAAATGTAATATTTTGATAAGCTTTTCAACATCTATATTTTTTTCTTTTTCTTTTATAGATCTTGTAATTTAATACATGGCTAATTAGCCATTTAATATCATACTTAATTAAATAAACTAATTATATATGTCGTTGCAGTTTATAATTTATTTTTATTAACGGACATTTTTATTTTCTAGAAATGCTATGTTATTGCTGTGCAATCAAGCGTTTTAGATAGGAAATATAAGAGGGCGTCCATTTGTCACGTGACCATATTTTTAAAGATTTTTGGAACCCCCCCCCCCTTTCCTTTGATGATACGTGGTAATATTTTTAATCGCCTTACTTCTCCACCCCAAACATCAAGTGTAATTTTAGTTAGGAGAACAAATCGTAATTTTTTTTTTCTTAAAACAATACCTTCTTTAAATTCATGTAAAAAATAAGTACACGTGATATCTTACTAGAATCAAAGAATCTTATCATAAGTGCATCTTTCAGATGTGTCATAATATTTCATGTTATAATTTTCATTATAAGTTAGATTTTATGTGTTTGACAGTTTTTAGTACCATTTCATTTTACGGCAGATTTGACCCATCAAACTTATTATCTATATATATTTATCGTTCAGCAAATTTGGTCGCCGGCGCCCCGTCTAATATTTCATTTTACATGAAGTCACTCGCTCTAACCAAATTTAATTGAACTAGTATTTACAGAGTGTTCGTCCGGAAAGGACATGCATTTCATATTAAGGAATTTACTAGATTCATGTGTTAGTTTTAACAAAAAATACAGTTTTAAAAAGTGTAGTGAACTGTGAACATTTGTGTGTAAGATAAAATTATTAAGGTAAATAATTTTTGGTTAATTATTTAGGTAAATTATTAGTTGGGCTCAGCACGTGGCCTAGTAGTATATTTATATGCAGTTGTTGAAGACACGCCATTTATATTGTTATAGATTATTTTTAATGTGCAAATTAGTATTTGCATAATTTTACTATTTGTAGTATTTTTGATTCATGAAAATATTAGAAATATATGAACGTTTGAATTACTCATAAACAACAGTACAACTTAGTTTTGTATATCGTAGAAAGTATGTGCAACTTTATATAACTTAATTTACTTATTTATTTAACTTTGGTGGTTTATTTTAGTAATTAAATATACAGCAAATAATAACATATATCACAAAACTAAACAAAAATACGGTTCAAATCAAGAAGTATCCATATCATTATTTATTTTAGTAAATAAATGTATTTCTGATGCAATTTAGTAGCCATTATCCTGCGCTGTATGTGAACAGTTTTTATTAAGAAATTTAGAAAAACTAAGTCATGAATTTCAATATTTTTTATTTATTCGATTATAAGATGATAATAGTTATGATGTCACTATACGTCTATATCTATATATAATGGAAATCTAATAAAAAAAAACTATCAATTATAATTTATGTTCTGGAAGTAACATCATAAATTTCCATGAATAACGGTTATATCAGTTATAATGAAAAAAATCATCAAAAAATAAAAAAATAAAAAAACGAGATTGTACATAAATTGTGTCATTTCTGACTTTATAACAACAAGGTTCCGAGTTCAAATCCTGCATTGCGTGCAACCTGATATCAAGAAGTATGGTACCCTGGAAAATTTAAATACAAAATGTTTCCAAAAAGTTGTACTATAAAATATAGAAAAAGAGTTTTCAGTTGGTTTCTAATAAGAATTCTAATAAGAATGCTATAGCATCCACGTCCGCAAACATGTAAAATAGAAGTTATCTATTAGATTGTTTGTACCGCAAATGCGACTTTGAATTCTACTCTGTAATTATTTTTAAAAATTAATGCAAGTAAACAAAGCATTTGGAATAGTTCCAGTTTTGGTGTAAAAAAGCATTTAAAATGCTCTTGAGTTCATTGCTTTATGTTTTATCTTTGTTTTAAATTTTTGTTCAAGAAATGTGTGGTTTTGTTTATTATATTTTTGTTCGACCTTGTTATGATTTGTCACCGATAACTTACTCTGAATTATAAACAAAGTACTTCATTTTTTCAAAATATATTGTATAGAATTTTAGACATAATTATAATATTCAATAATTATTTTTTTAATTATAAGAGAAATTTCATGGAGAAGAAATTATTATTCTGAAGGGACTGCATTTTGGTTACCGACAAATCGAATAAATCTTTTGTTAAAAATTAAATTCAAATAAAAAAGTAAAGTAAAAATCCATTCCATATTCTTATGTAATTTTTTATTTTATTTTTATAACCCATGTTACATTAATCTTTTATAATTTATCAAATTAAATTAATATAGTGCCCAGGTCAAAGATCAAAAATCCAAATTCAACACAGGAAATAATGTTTCCATGTGAAATATATTAATTTGATAACTGATACGATATCGTTATCAAAAATATTTCTCTCCGACCACCTGGTATATGAGATAAAAGTATTATAAGATAATTTTATGATCAACTGAAATCTGATATTTGGGGTCAATAATTGGAAGTATCTGATTTTTGAAATTATGTAACATAATTGATATATTATTCTTGAACAGCAGACATAACAAGTTTCTTATTGTAATCTCATGTAAATTGTCAATTATTATGCAAATCTTATTGACTAGATTTATTAGAAGGCAACTCAGTGGTTAACTATTTTATTTGTAGATCTATGTTTACATGTAAAAACTTATGTCATTACTGTTTGAGGCCATGTTTAAGGTTCTCAAAATGTGCCATTTATTCAGACCTATGGGCTGTTAATCGAATAAAAAAGTTAAAAAAAAATCATTTAGAAAAATCCTGATAGACTAGAATTCTAAATGTAACATTTGCATTATATTTAACTTCCCGTAGGGCAAGTTATAGTAATCGCAAAAAAATCGAAAAAGAAAATTTTAATATATCTTTACGTTTCAAAGGTTTCTGAATATTTTGGCATACCTTAGAAAAAATTGATGTATGTGTGAGTGTATGTGCGTGTATGTGTGTCTGCGGATACAAATTTTCGTCGACGATTTCGGGAACACGGATGAAACGATTTGAATAATTCAAATAACATTCGATTAGTATTGATTAGTTTTAGGCGAAGGCAGGACTAGCCGTTCCGAAGATACGGGGCAAAAAGTGCCAAAACGGTAACTCAGTTTTAAAGAGAACGGAGCGTCCGATTTGAATAATTCAAAAAACATTTTACTTGTATTAACAAGATAAAGGCAGGTCTAGTGGTTTTGAAGATCTAGTAAAAAAAGTAAAAAATGCCATTTGGCGGTCAAAAATGATCATTAGACATATGTAATGTAAATTATCAGATATTTTATAGAGATTTTAAAAATAAGTATAAATTTTGTTTACTTTCCTATCGGATCCGTACCTACGTTTATCCGTAGACGGTGACGCGGCGCTTACGCGCTTCGATATTTCGTCTTTATGCAGTTAATGCAGTACGATTGCTTTGAAAAAAAAAATCAGAATTTCCAAAATATTTTAAAATAAATTTTTTATCAAAGTCTTTTTTTTCAAAAAAAGTAAATTTTTGTCAAAAATTTAGTTTCACAAAAATCTAATTTTTTCATAGTATTTTTTTTTCAATCATTTTAATCTTTTTAAAAAAAATTTTTTGGTACGAGAAGTTCCAGCAATTTGCCTTAAGGCACGATGTCATGGGGCCCACTAGTTCAAATATTGTTTCGATTTTTTCCATATATTCCTTAAATATGAATATGTATTTGGGTGTAAATAGATTAACTTGTTCAATTGAGTAAAAACCATTGGTTCTGTTGATGACAAAGTTTTTTTAACAAAAATTATTAAAAACGTATTTTTCTTTTCAGATAAAAGAAGTAATTCTAGTTAAAAATGTCACTATTAAAATTTGCCCCCCTGGATACGCCTCTGGAAAGGCGTCTGCAGACATTGGCAGCCGCAGGATGGATCACCACAATGCTCTGGGCAGAATTTTTATCAATAGCCCTATGTCTTTATATTGTCTTATGTTCGAGTTGGTACTGGTTGGGTGTTCTATATGTTTTTTGGGTTGCAATTGATAGAGATATTTGCCATCAAGGAGGAAGACCGTAAGTAATAATAATAATAGTAATAGTAATGAAAGATATACTTGTGCCACTAGAAGGCAAGTCTTCTGTGCAACCACATGTTTCCCATTTCTTTTCTTACTTTTTTGCAATGTAACTTGTTTACAATTCAAATAAGAGCAGTTTTTTTTTTCTGGTTCTAAAGTATAGATATAAATTGTATGTTTAATACAGCTTGGCAACATTGTTTAGTAAAAAAAACTCGCTATTTCCTCATAAATTGCTCCGATTTGTGATGTTCCAATCTGGTTACCAACTCTTCTTAAAAAGTGACAAAACAATTTTTTCTTGGTTATATCTAATTTAATTTTCAGTAATGACCATCACACCTGTATCTTTTCTCAAACATTCTAAAACCAATATATTAATAAATCCATCCATTTTACAATAATTATTTCTATTTTATTTCCCAGTATCAAGTGGGTGAGAAACTGGACCTGGTGGCGATACTACCGCGATTATTTCCCATTAACTTTGATCAAAACTGCAGAGTTGGATCCTAAGAAAAACTATTTATTGTGTGTGTTCCCACATGGTTTGTTGTCATCTGGTGCTTTTGGTCATTTTGCGACGGACGCCACTGGTTTTCAGCAAATGTTCCCTGGAATGACAGCCAGAATTTGCACTCTTGCCGGACATTTCATGGTGCCGTTTTATAGGGAACTTATTTTGAGTTTGGGTGAGATAATGGATTAGTTGTAATTGTAATAATAGTAAGATTTTTGACAACTTTTCATGGAACTTTCCAACATACTTTAGTGCATTTTTTGCAAAAAGAGCTTTTTAAAGTCAACTAATTTTGAAAATTTTAAAAATACATTATGTCTTATTCTAGAAAACATGGAGCAACTGTGTCACTATTTTAGATCTGATATAATAGTTAAAATAAAAAAAATATATTAATAATTTAGTAATGAAACTCGAAATTTTCCTCATATTTTTGGGTTCAATGAAAATTTAAATTCATCAATTATGATTTTTTTTTTATTTTTAGGTGGTGTATCAGCCAGTGCAGAAAGTATCAATTATATTTTGGGTTCTAAAGAAAAAGGAAAGGCTGCTGTTCTCATGGTAGGAGGCGCTGCAGAATCCTTATATTGCAAACCTGGTACTTACAGGATTGTTTTGAAAAAGCGAAAAGGATTTGTGAAATTGGCCCTCAAAAACGGGTTTGTAAAAAATTTATACTATTCATACATATACCAAATCAAAAATTATCACATGCAGTAAGAATTATTAAGATAATTTACTTAATAATTCTTACTGCATGTGATAATTTTTGATTTGGTATATGTATGAATAAGTTTATTTTTTATCTGAAGTAATTTGAAACCGTTTTTAAATCATATGAATTTGTATAAAGTATTCTACACATATATAAATTAATCACAAGTAAATTGATGTAGATTAACTTGTAATTCGAGCGTGGGATTCATTTGGCTTTAAGATAATTTTTTTGTTATTTTTTTTTAATGATAAAAAATGAATGGAGTTAAAAGTGCACTATGGGTGATTATTTTACATGTTTGAATTCTTATTTTCGAATTATCACGTGTCAACAAATAATTTAAATTAAAAACATTTTTTTGAGTTTGATTTAGTTAAACCATATATAAAAATGTATTAACTCTATTTATATTATATATAAATTAGATATTTTTCTTTCTACACCAGGGATTGACTATTGATAAATTTCCTATGTTTTAAATGATTTTATATTGTTAATTTAAATAATAGTTGTCTGTATAACTAAATACTATACCAACTATAATAGTGGAATTATTAATACCATGCATACATTTTTTCTGAAAAAGTTTCTTAGAAAATTTTCACTTTTTTTCAGAAAAGTTAATCGCTAAGATAATAGCAGAAAAATATTCATATGGGCTATGGTAATTTATTTGGTTAGATAATTCGGTTATTATCAAAGAATTTTTTTTTACTAAAATTCCTGGAAAAACACTATTTTTATGTCACTTACGAGTATATGACTGACATGGTCTTTTTAATTTTATTTCTCGACAAGCCAAGAAATTATTAGATAAACTTATCAGACATATAATATTTAACATTACAATATTATTGATATCAATCAATTCTTTTATATTATTGAAGACAATTTATATATTCTTAGGGTAAATTGTAGTAATCGCAAAAAAATCTAAAATAAAATTTTTATTTTTACTCTTCAAAGATTTCTGAAGATTTTGATACATTAGAAAAAATAGATATGTGTATGTGTGTGTGTGCGGAAACAAATTTTCTTGACGATTTCGGGAACACCGATCAACCTATTTGAGAAATTCAAAAAGCATTTGATTCGTATTAACAGGAAGACGTTCTGAATAGTTTTCTAAAATATTTAAAAAAAATTTTTTTTCAAAGTTTTCAAAAAATTCTAAAGTGTTTTTTAACTTTAATTTTTGGTACGGGAAATTACAGCAATTTGCCTTTGCACCACTATTTTTATAATAATTTTATAAAAGAAATATTTTTAATTAAATTTATTTAATTTCTCAACAGTACTCCCTTGGTGCCAGTGTTTTCATTTGGAGAAACCGATTTATACGACCAGGTGTCAAATCCTGAAGGATCACTTTTACGAAAAGCCCAAGAATTTGTGAAAAAAATTACTGGAATTGCATTTTGTGTACCTTTAGGCCGAGGTATGCTTCAATATTCTGTTGGTATAGTACCGAGAAGAAAACCTGTTACTACTGTCAGTAAGTATAAGTATAAAAAAAATTATAATTTTGACCAAATAATTCATTGATATAAATTTATTTAGCAAATACTAAATTTTTATATAATTGTAAAAAATTCTAGAGCATAATTTCTTACTAAATATGCTTATTCTATGACTCATTTTATCTCCTTGTGAAAACTAAACGCAAACTAGTATCGCCACAAATTAAATAATAGAAAAATTATTAACCAAAGGCTACGATAATAAATAATTTGTTATTACAATTTTAATCAATGTTTTTTTTTTTCAGTTGGAAAACCACTTGAATTCCAGAGAAATTTGGATCCATCTGATGAGGACATTGAAAAACTACATTCTGAATTTACAAAAGCCATCACAGAATTATTTGAACAACATAAATCTAAATATATTGAAGATCATGAGAATATCAAGCTTGTCATTGAGTAGTTTATGAGTACTTTTGAGATCGTGAGTACTTTTTCATATTTTTTTTAAATTAGTTTTAAGATAGTATCAAATTTGTTGTTGTAATTATATCACTTTAAATTTGTTAGTTAGTTGTTATTTTTTGGCATGTCGAACTCAAAATGTTAATTTGAGGCACTGAAAATATGAACTAAATAATATGGTGTCTAATATAGTTATTGGCATTATAGGTATAAAATGCGTTTAACTAATTAATTTAAAAAGTTCCATTACAAATATTGCCTCAAAACCTCCTGAAATCATAACACATTACAGCTATTGGCATATTAGTTCGAACAAAAATACAAATTTATTTTTAATATACTTTTATTAAATTATTTTCATTCATATTTTGTGAATATGAATTTATTATTTTTATGCATTTTAGAACATTTCATATGATACAATTAATTATATACTTAAATTTTTTGTGGCTTAAATCCACACGATATAGACTTAAGTATCATAAGAAAATTTTCAAGTTATTTTTTTTTTTACTAGATTAATGCAGAATAATTATTTAAACACATACAGGCAAGTAAACGTACTTTTTGCTCATAATTTATATTATTTGGTCATTAAAATCGAATCGAACATTTATTTTAAATGCTACTAAATAATTACTATTACTTAAATTTACTTGAATTTGAAATTCAATCGTATTAAAAATCGTTATTTTGAGCAACAAATGTACATCATTTAATTATTTTAATAGTTGTATTTAAATTTTATTCGTATTGTCAATTTTGTATTTAATTCAAATATTATTCATATTTTTTTCCATCACTCTATTTCTCTAAAAATTGTTATTTTGAGTAATTTAACAATTTCAACATCAACATTTATCATAATAAGTATATGTATAAAAATCTAGTCTACTTTTTGCTTGGTTAGATTTCTAATGAAATAAATTTAAGACTAATAGTATAAGATGCCTTCAATGCATTTATTAATATTATTTTAGTTATAAAAATATTAAGTTAAATATATTAAGAACTTGTACTATATATATTATTTCATATTTTTATATAGAATGTTACTAGCATATATTAATAAATATTTTATATGAAAATATGATCGTTTGATAATTATAGTATTGAATCAGGTAATCTCACTTGTATAATATATATATATATATATATATATATATATATATATATATATATTAAATTATTTTAAATACTAATTTATCAGTAAGGCCAAACAAGACCTACAGATTTTACAGCTTTATCAAAATATTTTTCTACGGGTAAATTAAAATTTAATGATGATTTTCTTCCAAAATAAAAAGCTGCACCAAAAATACTAAGTGCACCTCCAATACTTAATGTGAAAATGGCTTTTGAAAGAACCTGGAAAAAAAATTAAAAACAAAAAGTTCAAGTAATATATAATCAATAAAATCATATAGTAAAAATATGGACTAATAGTTGGCAATAAGAAGGTTTGTGACATAAGAAGTGATTTATTTGGTAATTTAGCTAGGTATTCTGTGTAGTTTTATTATTTGTGTGGGTATTTTAAATATTGCTAGACATAATTCATTTATATGTTTTCAATTTGCAAATAATCGACAATTAGGGATTCAATTGGATTTTTGCAGAATTGTAGATTTCAGTAGAACAAAACAGAAAGTAGAATTATTCTTATCAGTAAGTCAATAAAATGATTATGTTAAAAAAATAAGGATTATTATAAAATATTTAAAATTTTAGAAGTAGTTGAAAATTTGTTTTACCTTATCCTGCCAAGCTCTATTTTCTATACATTTTCTATAACTCATTCTGGTAAATGAAACAGAATTATACAAAGGTACCCAAACTTGAGGTGCAATCCAAAATAGAAAATCATCGAATGTTTTACGAAGTCTGTATGATTTTTTGTTGACTAAATCCCTCATCTAAAAATACATTAAAAATTATTAAAAATCATAAAAAATATCTCAAACAAATTATGTTTTTGTGAAACATTTGTGACGATCAGATTTTAATTATTTGTTTCATTGTAGTGATGTAGTTGAGAAGTGAAATTTCATAATTTACCTCGACGATTTTTTCACTCTAGTCTAATATTGAATTTTATTTATAAACTTATTTTCATTATAATTAATTTTTTGGTAATTATTTACCTCAATGTAGTTATACATTGCTAAATCACAAATAGCATGAGCGTCGTCTACTCGTTTTTCAGTAAATTCCTTAAAAACATTTTCCATGTTTTCATCTCCAAATTTTTCTATGAGATCGTCTAATAACGAGCAGTCTTCAAAACCTAAAAAATAAATATAACTTGAATAAAAAAGAAATAATAATATAACTAATACATGCTAGAAGCTATATCTGAAGTTATATTAAATGAAAAAGTTTCTTGAAGAAAAATTATTAAAAAAAAGTTAAAGAGAGCAAAAAAGATATAATGAGATATAAACTAATAATAATATTAAGACAATTGCGTCGATAGTGCAAAATGTGGATTTTTACCTGCATTCATTCCTTGTCCATAAAAAGGCACCATCGCATGTGCAGAATCTCCAATCAAAAGAGCTTTGTCTCGAACATGGTAGGGAGAACACTAGAATTTTAATGTTTTATATTATTACAACACCATACATTTTTTACTATCACATTCTATTTGTGTTTCAGATTACCCCTTACCTTAACAGAAACCAAAGGTTGTGGACCTCCTTTGAAAAAATCTTTGGTCAACCTGTCTTTTCCAATTAGAGGTATGGAATCTGGGAAATATTCCGAGAAAAATGTATGTAACTTTTCAGGACTGTCCAGCATTGAAAATTTTTCAAAAGGCATGAATAAAGTTACTGTCCAAGATCTGTCTTGATTTGGCAGTGCTATCATCATGAATTGACCACGGGGCCAGATGTGGAGGAAGTTTTCTGGCATTGCGAACTAAAAAAAATAAAAAAAATTAAATGCCATAGCTTAAAATTTTGAAAATTAGTTTCATGTATTTTGATCTTTGTTGAAGAATTTGATTAATAATTTTTATTAATGATCATAAACAGGTTATAACTGGATGCATACTACATTCCAACCAGATCTCAACTAGAATATTACTATATGACTAGTTTCTCATAAGACCTTTAAAAAATTCTATTTACATTCCTACTGGATTCTTGAATCAAGTCCGATAAAAATCTTTTGCATATACCTTCGAATTCGATTTTTCATTATCTAGCAATAAATAGAAAATTTGGGACATTTTTTTTAGTTTTTGTCAAATAACTCAGAAACCTCGTTTGGGGCACTTTTTTCAGTTAGTTAGATAAAATTTACTAAAATTCAAAGTAAACAATGGTACAATGTCCGATAGAAATGTCTTGTTGCATTATGGTTATTCTAGGTATATTCTTACTAGATTCTTATCATATTGGAATTGGGTTCTTATTGGATTTAAATTAGATTCTTGCTTGATGCACTGTACATCATATTTTTACAGATATTATAAATAATATATAAACAATTAGAAATTGCATAAATTAGCTCTTAGTGAAAACAAAAATTTTATTTTCAAAATAATCAGTTGAGCATTTGGTTCAAATAGGTGAATATCATTTTTATTGTAGTTAGAAGTTAGTTATGTATAAGTAGTAGGAAGTTGATGTAATTTGCTTTAAGGCACCATGTCACTTACAACTAGTTATATAACATGTTAGTCCAACATATATTCCTAAAATGGTTATACTTGAGACTGGATATTTAGGTCATAAGTTCCATTTGGGAAAGAGCACCATTAATTAGTGTGTAGAAAAAAATCTTGTGACATGTTTTTTGAATTTATTACTTATTTTATTAAAAGTTTAATTTTCATTCAAAAGTCGGGAGTGTAAATTAGAAATTCTGTTTATCGAATAAAACATAAAACATTAGTATATTAATAAATACAATTTTTTGTTGAATTTTACAAATAATATTCTATTAAAAAAGTGTCGTGATATTGTGAAAGTTTGGTGATATTCCAAGGAAGTCCAAGGTGGTGCTGAAGAAATTATGAGGTAAGTCAATTATATATTTATTATCAATATTGTGGTTTGAATTTTAAATTTATTAACAATTACCTTTCTTCTTTGTCAGGAGGAATACAAAGTTCCATGTAACCATGTTTAATGTAAGTTTGACTATAGTCGAACATGGCCTGTTTCATCATATGTCTTCTGACCATGGAATATGCACCATCAGATCCGATCACAAAATCAAATCTACTATTTGTCGTGGATTTGTCTAAGGTACTGAAAAATTTTATATTAAAATATATTCAGTCGAATATATTGGTAAACGTCTTATAAGAGTTACACATATAAATTCTATTCGGTGAGTTACATAGTTAAATTCTGCAATATGCAGAACCTTATATATAACTAAATTATTTTTTAGATATTAACAGTTATTAGATATATCTGATTTTGATACGATTCATTAGTTGTGATTATAAAAAACAATTTGAGAACGATGAAATACTAATATTGAAAAACGAAAGAACAAAATTTTGAATTTGTACTACAAGAAAATTCAGGCCGAAGTAATAGCTGGTATCACATGGTACATTATTAGCAAATTTTTAAGATATACGAAAATTGTACTATTTCTGCACTATAGGTTAGAGCTATCCACATTTTTTTGTACCATTAGATATATTCGCATTTCTGAAATTAGATATTAGTAATTTCAGAAATGTGAATATATCTAATGGTACAAATATTTTGGATGGAGGTTAAGTGCTTATACATTTTGATTTTAAACTTAGGAACTATTTTTTATTTAAACTTGGTTAAACCATATCCCATTTTTGATTTTGTTGTATTTTTTGCTCAAGTTGATTTTGTTCTAATTGCACATTTCTTAATTAGTTTTTTGTCTATCACTTACTTTTGTAGAGTTTTTCACCATCATTGAAGTTTATATTAATCAACTTCTGATTGAAGTGTAAATGGACGTTATTGTATTTTTCGGTTGCTAAAAATAATTAATGAAGATTTTGTAGATTCAACTGTAATGCATAATTAATATTTAATATTTTGATGAAGGTATAAATATTCACCTGTTAATAATATTTCATTAAGATATCGTCTGCTCACTGAGTATATGCACTAAAAATAAATAAAAAATAAAAAAATTAATAATAAGATGTTAATGCAGAAATATTCTCAATGTCAAATGAAATAGATGTCAATAATATATATATATATATATATATATATATATATATATATATATAGTGATGTGCCAAGTCGAATCAAGTGATTCGAATCATTCGAATCAAGCCTTTAACGACTTGATTCGAATCAGATTTTACTTGATTCGAATCAACTCGCATCAAGCCGCGAAATATTTACTGTGATAAAATATGTATTAACACAAATTTTTCATAAATATAAAATTTTTCATAAATATAAATATAAAAAAAATGTTTTAATTTAATTCAATATTATAATAATATAAAAAATAAATATCATAAATATAAAAAAAAAAGAGTGCGCGTAAGGATCACACGCGATTGAAGTAAAACTTTTAATATTGTATGAGTAGGCAATTAAGATAAAAATAAAAAAAACATCATATTTGAATTTTAAAAATCATCTTTTAATAATCATATAACATCAATAATAATAAGATCTCCTGAGCATCGGCACAGCTGTCCTACTGATATTAAGAATTTGAATATGATGTGAAGCTTTCTTCCTAATTTTGTTACCTATCTTACCGGGAAATTCAAACCATAAACGTAGAAGTTCATCATTATCGCCACGTTTCTGTTACACTAATTTTCCCACACAACCATTAGCTAAGCCATCACTTACATCAATATTAGTTGTTATTATGTAAAATTTATTCAGAACTAAAATTATTTCATACGGCAAAGCCTCGGTGTATCAATAACCGATTTTTTTGAAACTGCTGACGAATGTATGATTGTTGATCTGTCGCATGGCAACCTACATAAATATCCGTGGCAGTAGATATTATTTTGTCTTCAACGAGATTCAATATAAATTTATTATATTCCATGGCACATTTATTCTCTAAGAAAAGTCTTATTCCATGAGGACATAATACAGCAACCTCTTCTTTTGTAAAAAAAAACGTGATTCAATTAATGCAAGTTCATATAGGGTTTAGCGCTCGACTTACGCATGACATGACGGGAGTGGATCGCGACTCGCGACATCAGCGCTTACGGCGTCGTAGTGCTCAACTTCACGTTGGCATTTTCGTTGCATTTGTACGGATTTACACCCGTGTCGCGCCTAAAAATTTTTACACCCATATCGCGCCTAAAGAAGTTTTACTTCAATAAATAATGAATTAAATCATGGCAGCCACCCGACTTTAATATGCTTAAATGTATCAGCCGACTCCAATCGTCTTTGTGTGACTTTAACCGCATTCATCGACTAACTATATCATCCACTTCATATGAGCCACTCGAATCAAGCGGCGTTATGAGTTGTTCCGACTTCAATTCTGATTCGAATCATCCCGACTTCAAGCCGTTCGAGCGATATGAGTTAACCGTATGGCGATACAGTGCGTCGTCGTTCTTGCGTGTTTATTTATTTTACGGAGCGCTGAGAGCGGATAATTAAGTCTTTT